CCAAACCTGTAATTTTAATTCAGTTTAGTTATTTGTGATTGCAGACGTGGCTACCACCACATAATAAGAAAACTAGTTTGGTTTGATTTGGAATTTATTCGATTTTTTCTTAAAGGAAAATCAATTTCAAAGAAAAACTAGACCACCACCCCTGAAACAAACGTCCTTTGGATCTTTTTATTTAAAATAACATCTAAGGACAATCGAACTCTAACCAGAGTTCTACTCTCAACATGCTTCCACCACTAAACTATTTAAGATTTTAAAGTTAAAGTTACTAGATTGTTGTCCACGTTACACACAGATAATTTGTCATGAAGTTCTATTGCAATGAAAATTTGTTGTCGGAATACCACAAAATTAGGAAATAGACTTTAAAAATAGACAATATGTTTTTCTTCATAGTATAAGATGGTTACACAAACATAATTTATTTTTGTTTTGAGTGTTTTTGAAAGTTTTCGTCGTTGTTTGGATTTGGGAGCGATGATTTTGTGTATGAGAGTTTATTTTGTTTCTCTATATAAAACCTTGTATGATGTCAATGTGGGTGACAAATAGAAGCAAGTTCTTAAAGGATCCTATTGGATTAAGGATTTGAGAGAACTTTTTGTTCTCAAATCCCTTTTTTTTTGTATCTATCATTTATAAATTCTATATGAAATTCTAGCTTTATTGGATTAGTCGTTTGTATATACGTTTCCCAAAATTCTAACTTATTAAAATTGATTCTAAATGAGATTTGGTGGAGTTTGAATAATATTTTATAGTGAAAGCAATGTAGCTAAATACCACCTTCTATGATGGTATTTGAAACTTTTTTCCTAACAATAAAAGTAAAAAAAAAATACTTCACATTTTTAAAAGAAAACCAAGTTGTTTGAAATGAAAAAAGTAATATTCGAAAATAAATTTTAATTCTTTTTTAATTTTTATATATTTCATAAAACCAGAATAGTATCAAATTATAGTAATTTTAATAATATCAGCACCCTTAACCTAAGAGAAACTGAAGCAGCTTAGAGTTCCAATCATAGTTTTCCATTTGGCAGGATTCTTTATCCTTACTTTGAATCTTTGGGTTTAGACATTACTTCGGTGATCTTGATCGTTTTATTCTATTAGTGCACTTCGGTGGGAATAAATCTTCCTCTCCTTGTTCTGTTAGTTTACTTTTCATTTTCAGTCTATAAATATATTATTTTAAATAAATTTTTTAATTTTTAAAAAAAACTTTGAAATTTTCTTCGAAACCCCCAAAAACTTGTAACAAACCTCTTTAGGATTTACTCAAATCTCATTTTTTTTGTATTTACTCAAATCTTGAATTTTCTCAAATTCTTGATTCAATAAACCTCACTTAGTGGTGTTAAAAAGAAATGTTTGTTGACCTTTCGACCAAAAAACAAAGTAATATCCAGAGGTTTGTCTGAAACTTACTCACAAAAAACATATTCGTTCTTGGGGTTCTCTTTCAATGTGGCACGCAAAATCTTCCGTTCGGATCACAAAATCCTGCGGCAGTTGTAATCTCACAAATGTAAAGGGCTAACAATTGCCTTAGCTTGAGATTCTTGAAGTAGGTTTCCGAGTTTGGTTCGAAGTAAATCTCTACCAGATATGTGAACATTTGATATATGAAGAGAAAGAGAAGATGGTAGAACGAAACAATAAAGATGAGATTTAATAGCCTCATTGATTGATGAAAAGGAGGAAGCAGTAACGGAGTTACTATCACAACCGGTAAATATGAAGCTTAAAAGTCGGGATGTGGAAGATGAGCTCCACGCTTCACATGAAATTGTTAGGCCAAGCATTAATGGCTTGAACTGGCATTCTTTAAATTTATATTTATCTGGACAGCCTAAATGAAGGTCTAATATCTCTCTTTTTTGGGCA